TTCTCAGCCTCCTAGTGATGTGGGGCACAGGTGGGGCAGGCTCCTTCTCCTCCGACCTTCCTGCTGGGATGAGTCTGGAGCCTGGTGCTGATGTGACGCTCTCTCCCCTTCTCTTCCCCCAGGTTCCCACTCCCAGCTGGTGCTCACTCAGCCTCCGTCTGCATCCGTGTCCCTGGGAAACACCGTGAGGCTCTCCTGCGCCTTCAGCAGCGGAGTCAGCGTCAGCAACTACTATGTGCAGTGGTACCAGCAGAAGCCCGGCAGCCCCCCACGATTCCTCTTGTGGTATTACTCAGACTCCAGCAAGGGCCAAGGCTCGGGGGTCCCCGCTCGCTTCTCCGGCTCCAAGGACACCTCCGCCAGCAGTGGCATTTTGACCATCTCTGGAGTCCTGGCAGAGGACGAGGCCGATTATTACTGTGCAGCAGCTCATGGCAGCAGCGGCAGCAGCAGCAGCAGCAGCACCTGGCAGTTGACACAGTGATGCGCTCTGATGGGGAACCGAGGCAAGAACCGGTAGTATTTCCCCAGGGGGCTTGCTTGTTCTGTGTCTGACACCACAGCAGGGCGGATAAAGTTAAACCCTGTGGAGCCACATTCCCCATCTTTCCCAAGGGAAGGTCACTTCTTGTCATACACCCACGCTCACATGAGGTTGCCACACGCACACAAGGGAGTGAAGGTTCTGGTGAGAACCCGAGCTCCAGAGAAGAAGACGAGGAGGAGGAGTTAATTATTGTCCCAACAGCAGTACAGAGCTCTCACCCTATTTCCCCAGATGTTATGGAACGACGAGTGGTGTTTTGCCACAACGGGGGCAGGCTGAGGCCACGCAGGATCCAGGGCAGACATGGGGTTTGGTACTAGTCTGACATGTGAGAACGAAGCCGACAGAGAGCAGGCCAGGGGGTTCCTGGGAGTACTGGGGATGCTTGATCACACAGGCGACGCGTCGGCTGGGGAGTCCCGATTAGAGGAACGGCGAGCATGCATTCAAAGTGCCCAAAGGGTTCATAGGCAAAGTGTGAGGTGACGTTACTCAGAGCAAGAGGTCAACTTTCCATCCTGTGTGTACTATCAGTGTTGTGAATACTTTGCAGCTGTTCGGCATGAGGATTCCTTTGTAGTCGTCTGGAATAAAGACTCTTGCAGCAACTGCTGGAGTGATTGCCTGGCTCATGACACTCCTGAGAGCAAACTATCTGTTATATACCCCACAAGAACACAATCGACTTGCGCATTCTGTATTTACCTTCATGTGCAAATCGGAAGTCTACAGCTCTCCGAAATTGCTGCTCGAGATTAAGTGAAGGTCCTTCTGCCTTCCCTCAACATGCAAATTGCATTTTTTTTAATGGGGACAGTGGCAGAGAGAGAGAAAGCAAAATCCTTCTCCACAGTTCCCAAGGTCTTGAGATTATTGCATCTTCCCTGGATCACCTATTTACATTACACACATTTGCAAATATGAACCTCATAATTGTGTTGTCACTTGCACTCAGATGCCATTGGCTCTGTCTGGAGATATGTGACATATATCACTTTACTCATGTTGGCATGATAGGCTGATGCAAGCCCAAGAAGCCTTCAAGTTACATCTTCAAGAACAGGGGATCAACCGTGGGGTCTTTCTTATTCCCAGCAACCATGGGAACTTTCCCCGGTGGACCCTGTGTGATTATCCCATCACTGGCTAGAGTCTACTTTGAATGCCTGCAGTGCCATTTTCTTGGTAGAAAGACAAACTGTCAATAAAGACAAGAACATTAATTTATGCAATCCCTCAGCAATTTCGGTGACCATGCAGACTCCATGACTTCCATTTCTAATCAGTCTTCTTTTCTCCACTTCCTTCCCACAGTCCCCATTTTTAGGATCTTGCCTAGTGAAGGAAACTTGTAAACTTGGAGGGTTATGCATAATAGTCAACAGGCCAGAGACTCACTCTTGGCTGACTTTCCAAAAGTCCAGATGCCTGTGTTATTGGATGCTGAAGTGGAGGACACCTGATTTGGTCCTTCTAGTCAGCTGATGTTGGAGCAAGGTGAAGCTGGGTTCAATCTTAAGAACTCTCCCACATCCAGAGAGGGAGAAGCTCCTATCCCTGGCAGACCAGCACAGTAGGACTTCTCGACTGGATGTGACATAGAATCTTGTATCAGCATATCAAAGTCATGTGAGGAGCCTCAATCAGACATGGAGGACCTACTCTTTGGCATGCCACCTTCCACAGGTGGAATGGCTCTTCCTCTTGCATTTACTGGCCCATTTTTATAGGGTTTGAATAGGGCTTCTGTTCCTATTCTTTTGTTTCCAACTTGGAAAGACAGATATTAGCCTGAAGAGTATTCTGTTTCTCCAGAAGTTCAGACTACGCATTACATGATTTTTTTTTCCTCTCTGCTCATATGACCATTTCTGGACAGAGAAGGGCAGCAAGGTAACTCCAGCAGCAAAACATCCACCCCAAGGATCCTGGATCACTCCACTGTGCCTCTCGAAAGCATTTCACTAGTAGCTGTGCTTGGGGTGCTTGTCCTGAAGAATGACCATAAGCACCGGAATAGCTGAATTGAAAGCTCTCAGGCTGTTCCTGGACTTGACACCTGGATTCAGGCCACTAGAGGGCAATCATGATCTACGAAGCACTGGGCTGCAATGTACCATGTTGATGGAGCACATGTTGTACTTCAGATGTTGTCGGAATGTAATTCCCATCAGCCATAGCCAGTAGACCCAGCGGAGAGGAAGGATGCGGAGTACACCTCCCCCTTTCCTGGTCTGCTGAGTGAGTTGGGGTTCTCCATGTAATGCACAGCGACCCCTTGTCAGTGTGTCCTTCCATCTCCCCTTTGTGGCAAGTCATTTGTAAGGAATGAATGAATAGAAAGGATCCACAAAACTTCATGGAAGGGCTCCAGGCAAAGAGCATTGCCCAGAGGGGAAGGAACAGTACAATGAAAGAGTGAATTGGCAAGTGAATGGGCTGCATTTCTTCCCCAACCCATGATATGGCAAGAAACATGGGGTGATTCCATTGCAGCACGGTGGAGAAGGAGGGGGTCATGTTTCCTCATGTTTTCCCATTTGCTATACTGTTGCTCAGGTATAAAATGGATGTGTATCCAATTCATTTTTGCCCATCATTCTCAGAACAGACATACTTATTCAACTGCTTCAATTTATGTGATCCAAAGAACCACAAGGTGATCTTATGTGTCGGCTGCATATCATAATCGCCACACATCCCCAGATCACAGGGATTCACAGAAAAGATCCATTCCATACACCACCAATCAAAAAACTGCTGTATAAAATTGGGCACCAGAATGGAAATCAAACCCGTATAAGGCCAGTGTGAAGCACCACGTGCCAAAGAACGGGGCTTTTACATATTATGGCCAAATGGGCCAATCAGGTTGGCGCAGTTGAACACAAAGGTGAAACCCAGATGCTTTGCTTCTACTCACAGAACAGATATAAAAAGGGCAATTGCTGGATTAACGCCCAGCCCTGCCTGGTTTCTTTTCTTTTCTTTCCACAGGTCAGCTTCGGATTTCACCATGTTGTGGACGTGTTTTGTTAGCTTGTTGGTGATTTGGTGCACAGGTGAGAGAAAGTTCAATAGGCATTCATAATACTGTTAAGGTAAGTGCACCTGACCTGACTATTGGATGCAACACTTTCTCCAATGCTCCTTTCCCAGGTTCACATTGCCTGCCTACACTGACTCAACCACCATCCGCATCAGTGGGACAAGGGAATACAGTGAAACTTTCCTGTAGCTCAAGCCCAGACGCCAGCATTGGTAGCTATTGGGTCTCCTGGTACCAGCAGAAGCCTGGTGGCTCCCCACGGTACCTCCTGGCATACTACTCTGATAGCAGCAAGAACCAAGGCTCGGGGGTCCCTGCGCGGTTCTCCGGCTCCAAAGACACCTCCACAAATAGTGGAATTCTGACCATCTCTGGAGTCCTGGCAGAGGACGAGGCTGGTTATTACTGTGCAATGTACTATGGCAATGGCATTTTCCACAGTGAGACAGTTCAATGGGGAAATGAGACAAGAACCTCTTTCCCTAAGGGGCCTTCTATTCAGCATGCAAAGAATGAAGAGGCCTGGTCAGACACATATTTAAAAAAGTAAAACTTCCCTTCGAATCATGTTACCCCCTCTCCTATTTGGGATAACCACCAAAGGGAGGTTTGTTAGGCCCGTTTGTCTTCTTTTCTGTCACTCTTTTCCTTCCTTAGCAGACTTTTTGATGGGTTTTGTGTTTTGTGACACTGCCTCGGGGCTTTTGATTTTGGATTGGATTTGTTCTTATGGTTGTATGCTTTCTGTCTCTCTGCTAAGTGGCCACGTATTGTAAGCTAACTTATTACACCGCTATCGCATCTCTTTGCTCTTATATCCCACCGTTTTTGCTCTTGTGAGGAACCCAAGCTGACTTTCATGGTGCCATTTTATCCGCACAACCACAGCCCGGTGAGGCGGCTTCGGCTGAGAGTGAGTGGCTGGCCCGAGGTCACCCAGTGAGCTTCATGGCCAAGTGGGGACCAGGACGTTGATCTCCCAGGTTTCTCACCACTGCACCACACTGTCCCCTAACCTTGGGTCAGATTTTCTCATGGAAAGGTGGGATAAAAAGGTCCAGACAAATGATCCACACAGAAAAGAGTGTGGCCAAGCCCAGCCCTCCATCCTGTCTTCTGCATTTGGTGTTCTCGTGTTAGGAGGAAATGGGCAGCCCTTTCAAGTCCATATTTATAGGAATCCTCCCTTTCTCCTCCTCCAGGACTCTTCTATGCTGCTTCTGCTGGAACTTTTTTGGGAGAGATTAGTCCTGCTCAGTCACTGCTCCCATGGTGGCCATTTTGTGGTGGCTCCCTCGGGAGTTTCTCAAATTGCCAAATGTACTCATGGCCCCAGGGGATGCTTTACCCTCCTGTAAACCACAAGTAACATGTCACCTGTATAAAAAAAAAAGGTACTTCCTGTGGGATTTCCTGTTTCCTGTTAGAGTGGTATATGAAAATGCCCTGCTTGTTGTTTTTTAACAGAAGAGCCAGCTCTGTTGAGTGCATGTTCAGTCCAGAAGGTGTGAACTAAGGAAATCCTGATCAAACATGACCTGGACTGATTTCCTCATGCATCTCTAGCCCCAGTGGGCCAATGGTAAGAGAAAGCATAAGTCACCTTACCGTGTTCCTAAGAGGAAAAATTAGTGACCGAGTCCTGGATTTCATCCTAATTCTGTCCATGGTGTGACCATGTCTCCTTGACAGAGGGATATTTAGTACAATGCACTGAGATCACAATGGAACTTACCTGTGGAATTAGCTTTCAGAACAAGGTTGGCAATAGGTACATGATCTGGGGCAGAGAAACATGGGGGCCTTATACCTTTTTTAAATTTGAGATGGAAATAATGTAAGAATGCTTTTAAAGAATGTGGGATAAAAGTTTCTCCAGTCTTCAAAATCTGTGAGTGGGGAAATGTGCTGAAGCATTCCAAACAATTCTTGGTGTTGCAATCAAGTCCCTTTCAGGGTGATGGGGATCTTTAAAGCTGGGGTTGACAAATTGGTTCAAGTTGTGACAAACCAGCTTCAAGCTTTCTATCAGGAAAAGGTTCCTCACTGTCAGAGCAACATGACAGCAGAAGCATTTGCATGCAGAGGTCGTGGGATCTCCCAGACTAGAGACATTCAAAAGAAACTGGACAGTCCTCTGAATGGGATGGTGTAAAATGGTGAATGACAACAGCAGGGGGTTGAACACAATGGCCTTCTTGGCCCCGTTCAACTCTGCAGTTCCATGATCCCATGATCCCATGATTCCATGAACAGGTTCATGCAGGATAAATAGAGGGGTATTTTGCAAAGGATGCTGCACAAGCCCATCCTCCTCACCCCACCTTTTGCAGGACCCCTTTGCATGCCCTTTGGGATGGATCGTTCGTGGGGCTGCTAATCATCTATGCAGTACCGGTGGGAACTCCAGAAAGGTCTTCAGTCACAACTGCGGCATTCACAACCGCCTTTCCAGAAATGCAATGGACCAGTCTAAATAGCCGTGCATTTGCCAAGAAGGCCACTAGAGGGGGCAGCACTCTCTCTCCCAGGACAAAACCATATACTGTGGAAAGCGGTTTATGCCTCAAAGGTTAACATTCATGGAGAATGTACAAAAGAGTAATTAAATAACTCCTGTTTTTGACGTGGATGCATTCAGTAGCACAGATGGTGCTTTTGCGCTGACTGTTTTAACACACAAAGCTGATGCAGAACTCGATGGAAGAGTGGAAACCAAAACCTGGAGAGCAACTGCCGTGGACAGGGTAGCCCATCTCAGAGTTAAGCACCACTTGCCATGTTCTGCGTT